GTCTCCCCCCGCTACATTGTCCTTTCCCCCCCAAATAACTGGGATATATATTTAAATGGCTCTTTAAGTCGTGTCCATCTTCATCTGGTATTCTACTCATGCACTCAGGGTAGTTTAGATAAAAGATCAGAAAGTCAGTAAAGTGAGAGAAATCTCTCTTTTAGAGTGAGGCAAACACAGCGTGAAGCCAGAGAGAGAAGCAAAGAAACAGACAGGGAGCAACAGACAAAAGTGCATGTAGAAAACTGATCTTCCCACGTATTTTAAAGCAAAAACTGAATGATATACTTGACTTAGAAGCGTAACATTTTACGCCTTTTATATAAACCAGACTATACAGAGCCAAAAAGACAGTTGCTAGCTAAAAGCAGAAAGAAAAAACAAGAGAGAACATCTCGGTTTTTTAAGAGAATGATTTCTTCCTAGGTTTTGCATAGCTTAAGGAATCTAGTGCTTGTGAGTGATGCAAGATAACACTTTCTTGTAATTTTATATAGTAAGCAAAGATTTAGAATATTTACAGACCACCCTGAGTAAAAGCGTCACTGGATTCTAAGAGCATGCTCATACCAGAACATTCATCTTTGGGGGGAAAAAAATGTCCAGTGGCCCTCAGGCCATATATGGCTGCAGGGGAAGGCATGCCTTTGACCTCTTGGTGCCTGCAGAATTAGAGCACAAAGTCGTTACAGCCTACTGAAGGCTTTTCCTTCTTTCATTTGTTATAATGACTAACTTTTTATCAGATCTGGCCAGTGACTACACTACAACACTAAGCTTCCCCACATCCTAATCGTTGACAAAAAGAGATCATGAAGATACTTGTATTGTTCCAAATGACAGTCTGGGGGGTGGGAGGCTGTGATTCAGGGTGAAATAAACTCTTTCAGTCATTCGTACACCAGCAAACTGTATTGCTTTGGTATGTGGGTGCTGCTAGCTTGCTCTCTGCTCATGAGCTGACACAGAAAGGAGTCTGTGTATTATATTTTAGACCGTATACAGCCAGACTGCTGTAAGCTCCTTTTTCTAATTTATGGGTAGGTCTTGAAACAGTCAGAATTTTGTCTTATTAAAATTGATATAGGAACGTTCCAAGCTTTCAGTCAGGAAGAATTCCTTTTATTTTTATTCTACACAACGTAATTATAATGAATTACAGTATTCCACTGTTTATAGTCTCCACCTACACTTTCACAGAAGTTGCCTGTCATCCTGCATTAGTTAAAGAATGATGCTACAATGTCCGATCTTAAAGATTTCGTGGCCTCTGTGTATTTTTCCCATTACTCAGGCAGCTAGATTTCCCCCCCCCATTGGTTATTTCCTCTATGGGAATAAAGGCACTTTTGCATAAGCATTAACCCTTTAGTGGTTCCACTGCTACTGTAGGGCGAAGCAGCAATGAAACAACACCACCCACATTTGTCTGAAGGCACTCTCATTCCTACTTACATACAAATTTAATGGTTATTCATTTAGCTTTTTCTGAAATGCTAAGAGTATTCTTTTAAAAAATTATTCACAGTAATTGCTTTTCTATCAAGCTACGGTTTTCAGTAAAAAGTACCAGGCATCTTACACAGCATTATTTTCTACCAGCAGGGATATATAACTAACATACCACTGTATGTTTACCTGCAAGTCATAATCTACATAGGGTGTAGGCTTCTAAATACTTTATTTTAGGATATTACTTTAATTTGTTTTTTTGGGTCTTTTTAAAGATTTTATTGAGGAATTGGGGGAGGGGAACAGATAAGTTGCTGTCCTTTGGTTCTTCAGTCTAGTGGTGGAGGGTGTTGCTTCACTGGCCCATGTTGGTATTATCATTGCATTATTCCCAGGTGAGGCAGTCGCTGACCATTAGATGGCTGCTCACAGCTGCTCACGGCAGCTTACACTGGCTGCTAGCCACTCATGGTAGTTCACAGCAGCCCACTGCCACAGGGGCTGCAGCCTATGCCGTCGCTAGTGACTCACAGCAGCCCAGCTCAAGGTCGAGCTGTTGTTCACCATCTTAGCTGTAGAGGGCGCAGTGTCACTGGCCCTTATGTGGGATCCGAACCGGGGCTCTACTGCTCAAGAGCTGGTGTCCCAAGCCACTGGACCAACAGCGCCACTGGACCGGCCCCAATTTGTTTTTAATTGAATGAAATGCCCTTGGTTTTCTTCCTTCCTGGATTCCTGAAGTATGTAATATATTCTCAGTCTAACAACATTACTAATCCAGAAAACAGAGTTTTGGGCAAAAGTCTCCTTATGATTACATTGTAATTCATTAAGTCTGATTTATTTGAACAGAGTGCCAGGGAGTTTCACATTTGGTGGTAATTTACAATAAATAAGTATTAATATTTATTTTAAGGATAGGTAAATATGACTTGCCACCTTGAATTTAGGAGATTGGTGTTTCCCAACCAAGATTAGCTATATGGGTTTCTTGGCCATTGTCAAGAAAAGTGGGTGCTATTTTATTTACCTATTTAGCCATGGTTTGATTAACTATTTATATACTTAACCATATGGTTTGATTAAAAAATCAAGACTGCTCTCTTTACTTTGTGCACATTAATCCACTCATTGACTCAAGAAATATTTTTCGTTGCCCTTGCACTGGAATCACAGAGCTTTAATAAGGATCACTTCTTGCCCTAAGGCAGTCTGGAGTTCTATTGGGTTGTCGGGAAAGTCATGACGCATTTTTGCATAGAAAACAATGCAGAAATGCGTCCTGGCTTTCCCGACAACCCAATAGTAGGCATCTCTTCAAACACTTACAGGTTCTGTCTTTACCCAGTGTGCCCATGAGCAAAATTATCTTCAGTCAAATTCTCCTCTGTTGGATACTGAAAAGTAAGATCACAGGATAGCTTTCAGGTGTGGGATTTCTGACTCTCAAAGGTGACTCACTATCACCTTCTCTCACCTGGTTCTGCAGGGCAGAGGAGATGGGGGCGAAATATATGTCAGTAGGGAAACTGGACTGAAGTCCGTCTTTCCCTTCCTGCTTCTCATCCTGGAGCTCACACATGTGAGGGATTTACATCCAGAGCCACATGCGAGACTTGCAGACCCATAACACTTTCTGAGGATTTGAAAAGATATTCTTTCCATCTCAGCTAGTGGTAAATAAATGTGTAATCTCCTGTTGCATTCTGAGTGCAAAAGACGTTTCCCAAAATGGTTTAGGAGGACCCAGGCAGAGCAAACAAAATAATAATCCTGAGGATACTCAGATTCTGAAATTTTCAAAAACTCTTTGGATTGCATGAGTCAGGTTAAAGTTTCTAAATTCAAAAAAACTCATGGAGCAAGTTATGGCTTATTCAAAAGCAGGGGATTTTCAAACAGTGTTCCTGAGAGCCTCTGTAGGAGGTGGGGTTGTCGTGGAGGTGGGAGAGTAGCCAGGAGAGAAAATTCTGCCCCTTCAACCACATGACTGTACTTTTGGCTTTTGCATGTATACACTGAAGGTCATTCTAAGATGTCATTTGACAAAAGGTTCTCCTGCTCAAAGAAAGAAAGAAATACTAAAAATAAACAAACCCAAAATTATATATTCTAGATGAACATGTTACCAGAGGAAGAACAAAAGTCCAGAATAGCTCTTTTTAGCAAGAGAATTATTCTTCCCCCAAATAAAAAAATTCAGAAGACTATCAGAATTTTCTTGAAATTTGAATAAACATTCAGTATTCATTATGGGAATGTGAACCGGTTATTACTCCACACATAAAGATAAGAAATAAGCCCTGTAGCAAGGATTTTATTTGAAAACAACTAAGGAGGGAACTGTGTTAATATCAAAATAATTTTTCTTTGGGTTATAAATGTAATGTGTTTTTATTGTAGAAAATTGGGATACACACAGAAATATTTTTAAAGTGCTGTCGAATTATCTGTAAGCCTATTATTTATTTTTCTGTGGATGTAGGAACATAATTGATATAATGAATATATTCCTGTGGCCTGTGTATTCAATTTAACATTGTCTTGTGCAGTTACTCATCTTATTTTTTTTTTAATCTTTACTTAAGGAGAAAATAGAAAGGATAGAATTGAAACAAATTGTCATTGGTCTAAAATTTTAAGAAGCACAAAACAGGGACTTCAGCTTTTTACAAATTCCTCCACTTTCCCATCTGGACAACCCCACGTAGTAGGCAGTATTCGCTTCGAAGCTAATATTTTCTTGGAGGTCCTGGGCCTCTGGAAATTCAGTCTATTTTAGGGATATCATCCCCATTGGTCTATTCTTCACTTTTCTAATTTCTTTTTCCATTATCTCATAAAGCAAATAGTTACAAAATAAATAAAAGGCAATTTCTACTGTGAGAAGAAAAGCCAAATAATAAGTTAGAAAATAATTGTCTTAATGAACTGCTAAGCCTAAATTAGACTTCCTGATGTAAACTAAAATGCCTACAGCTTGTGATAAATTAATGACTATTGCACATATTAAGCAAAAGACTTTCTAGTCTGTTTGTGAGCTAAAAAAAGGCAAGGTTTCCCAATCAGAGGCTAGAGGAAATGCGTTTGGGAGGATGGGTAGATTCACATAATGCTCAGTGTGAAGGCCTATTAGAATTTTCTCCAACTACATTTTAAATGAAGTATCATAGAATTGCTAGATCTATTTAAAGTTCACAGCTTCCGCAAGTATTTAAACAGATTGGGATAAGAAACAATCTGTCCATTGCACTACAGAGCACATTTAAGGAATTAAAATAGCCTAGGGGTAATTATAATCTAGTAAATATTTCTTCTCTGGCTTCTTTGAGCTGGTGCTCATTTTTTCTTTCTGTCTCCTGTGGTAGCTTTTCCCCTAACTAGAATATCCTCGACCTTGCCCCCGAAATGAATTGTCATATTGGTTTAGTTTTAGATTTCATGTCGTCTTAACTCTTCCCAATGCTGGGTTGCCTGCCATCCCATTTACTCAAAAAGTGACCTCTAAATGCTCTCTCATAATGGTGTATAAAAATTGCCTTTTACAGGGCCGGCCGAGTGGCGCGATGGTTAAGAACTCGCTTGGGATGCCAGAGGGCCCCGGTTCGGATCCCACATATGAGGGCCAGTGACACTGCCCTCCACAGCTAAGATGCTGAACAACAGCTCAACCTGGAGCTGGGCTGCCGTGAGTCGCCGGCGACGGCGTGGGCTGCAGCCCCTGCTGCAGTGGGTTGCCATGGGCTACCGTGTGTGGCCAGCAGCCAGCATGAGCGGCTAGCAGCTGCAGTGAGCGGCCGTCCAGAAGCCGGCGACTGATCTGCCTCGCCAGAGAAGAGCGCAATGATGGTGCCAACTTGGGCCAGTGAAGCAACGTCCTCCACAACTAGATTGAAGAACAAAACGACAGCAACTTGTCTGTTCCCCTTTCCCCAACTCCCCAGCACTGTTCCCATCCCCCCAATTCCCCAATAAAAAAAAAATTGCCTTTTACATGTCTCTCTCCCATAGTACTGTAAATATCTGGAGAAGGTCATTTTCCTCAGCATCTAATAAAGTCCTAGTTATTAAGTGCTCAACAATATTTATTAAATAAGTGAACAAATACATGCTATACATACATACATACATACATACATACATACATACATAGTAAAATGGAATAAATGAATAGGAAAGAAAATTTTACTTAACTAGGGTGTTGCCATTATAGTGACAGCATAACACTTGCCAATTCTTTTTGTACAATCACTTAGGACATTCATCTCCACATGAGCAGGTGAATTCCGCTCGGTTAGCTGTAACCATTAAAACATCACCTGCTGTCAAACATACCTTTCAGTCTCTGAGTGTTATTTAAGAGAACTAAGGCCCATGGCCTAGAGCATTTCTTTAGGATAAATGATCATTAAGGGTTAATGAGCCAATGCCTTGCTTTAGACCAAAAACTAGTTCTAATCGGTCATTAGTCTTGCCCTATATGGCCTGAAACTCCATGATTATTGCTTAATTTAAGCACAAGCTACTATGCAGGCAGAACATTGCCTATCTCTGTCCTTAAACATAACGAGCATGGATTTCAGTGAACTTAATCAGTAGTTTATGTATGAGCTGGTTCTTGGCAACAACAAAACTTGTTTCCTTTGTTTTTATAAAAATGTAAGCATAATATTCTAAGAGGTAAGATCATATTGGTTATTTCCTCCATGATCAACATCATTATATTTGATAGAATATTTTTTAAGCTACAAATTGGATAAAATTTTTATTTTAGTGTTCTGCTATGTCAGTGTCTAGTCACCTTTTCTCTGCACAAATTTGATACATTTCTTGAAATATATAATCGCAGTTGTCATTGATGATAGAGTGACCCATGTTTCTTTAGGCAATTTGATACCATATAATTTCAGAAATACCTTGGATTTCTTAAATTAGTAACAGAAAATGTATCATGGATTTTTCCAAAGTTTTGCTTTACAAATATTTACTGCAGCACATAACTTTGTTATGCTTTTTCAGTCTACATGATAATTCCCTGATTAGACCATCCCATGCTTGGAGGAACCAATGGAAAATTATGAAGCCTGACAGAGGCAAATAGACTGTGTATTTCTTTCAAAATTTTATTTTTTCAATAGTTTGTGGGGCTTTTTTTTCCTCTGATAAAATAAATGATTTAGACTAACAAGCTACTCATTGATCTTTGACCTTTTCAGCCACATCAAAAGCATCTTAAAAGCCAATTAGTGAAAATGCAGAGAAAAGGTCATTTTATTACAGCACTCAACATTGGAACCATAATATTTTACCTAGATTCAAATTATTCTATGGCTTTCATTAGAAAAATAGAAAGAGAAATACTTCAATCCTAAAGCAGGTAGATATTTTGCATGCACAAATGGTTTTACTCTTTCTCATGCTGGTACAGTAATTTTCTTAGCGCCGCCAACATAGATAGTCTGCAGCAAACACTCTCCTGATTATCTCTTTTGATGTACAACAGGGATAACACTGATAAATGATGTCCACTGATAATCCCCAAGCCTCATTTTAGCCACTGGCTTTAATTGCTTTCTCAAGACAGCCCTTTACCAGACTAGTTCAGAAACAGTAATACATACAAGATTAAACATTGGCTTTTATTCGCTTTCCCCCTTTTCTTCTCTGATAGCGTTGATTTTAGGCAGCATAACACAGAGGAAAGGGAGAAAACCCAGGATGTAGTTGGCTGTAGAACTAAATATAAGCCCTCAGATGCTAAAACAATTATTTTATTAAAATGATTACTCAATATATTTGTAATTAAATTTCTAAAAATCAGGTGTTTTTTGAATTTTTAAATTAAATTTATTGGGATGACATTGGTTAGTAAAATTATATAGGTTTCAAGTGTACATTCTTATCATGCATCATCTGTATATTGCATTGTGTGTTCACCACTCAGAGTCAGTTGTTTTAGGAAGCATTCATTTGTTAATTTTTCTGATTTGACTTGAGGATTTGCAATTCACAAAGCCCTGGGCCATAGACTTTGGACTATATAATAATGGAAAAGACATGGTTACTGTTGTTAGAAATTTATAGTCTACTAGAGGATGTTACGATCTGACAAATCGCTCTACATATTGTGCTGAGTGTGATTTTTTTTTCTAATTTAATAAGAAATGGTAGAAATTATTTTGATTTTAGTAGCTGTTATTTTCTTGTGGTGCAGAGAACCAATTTTAAAAATGAGGGTGTCTGATTTTTCTCCAAGCAAGAAATCATCTTTATATATATGGCATAAAAGTAAACAAGTACACAGAAAAAATCCCCTAGAACAAAAACCTAAATATATCCCAAAATGAAGCATAACGCATTATGCTATAATCTAAAAAATATGTGGAATTGGTGGAATAAAGTCTCCAAGGTCACTTGTAACATACAAGTATCAGGTATTGAAAAACTGTATTAGACTTTGATTTTCTGAGCAGGAATTTCCAGTCTTTTCCTGAATGCTTTTTCTTTAAAGTACAAGCAGACCACATTCATCAAAACCAGATGCTAATGTCTCTCTGCTCAGTTTCAGTTATCAATATCAAGTTTGAAAGATCCAAAACATTTTCCTAAAAAATTGACTATGCCTGTGATCAGGTCATATTCACCAGGGTTGACATGAGCCAAGGTCCATAATGCCTTTGAAATGAAAAAAATCAAGGTCATTGAGACCATGTTTTTCTCTTCAATTTTTTTTTTAAGTAAAATACTTATTTGTTCAAGAAATTTCACATACATGTTTAACACACACACGCACACACACACACACACACACACACACACACACACACACACATGCATTTTTGTTAAGATCTGCTAAATATTAGGCCAGGAGAGAAGCAAAACTTCCTGATTTGATCCCGTTGAAAATTGCTAACCTGAACTGATCAGGCCTTCAAACTCTTGGTTGACTCTGCTGGCCGCAGTGTGTCCATATGATGGAGGTGTATAATCAGCAGTCAAGATCACTGGTGTTGCTATGCCCACCATCTTGAGTGGATGGGATGAACCACAAGCTACAGCTCCACAGCTAATACCAATATGTTGGTAGAGATGGAACCGTATTGTATGCTTATATCCTTAAGAGAATAATGAAGCCCTTGCATTCCTTTGATGCTTCCCTTGGACATCCAAAACTTTAACCATATACCGTTTTCTCCAGCTGTATTTGAACTCTACATGAAAATCTCTACTTTCCCCTTAGAAAATAATACTAATGGCAATGAGATTTCATACAAAATTTTATAGTTTATTAATGCATTTGCACATTTGTTTTAGTCTACTAAAATTTACTGCAGCCACAGAAATTCAAAGAGACAAGTAATCAAATTTTAAAAACTTAGCTTCATGAATCTACATATTGGCATAGAATTATCAAAATGCCAATTAGATGTTAATATCCTAGTATAATATATGAGAGCAGGTAGCATAATTAAACGTTACATCTATAGTAAATGTGAGCATCTATATTAAATGTGATCTAAACACTATTTGGAATTTTAATTTTAGGAAGATAGTTAAGTGCTATGTTAGGCACTAAATGTGCAATGGTAAAGCAAATGATCAGGAACTCTGCCCTCATAGAGCTTACAGTCCATGAACTCACAGTACAGACAACTCACCTACATTCTCTAAACAAACACATAACTAAATAAGCACATAAACAAACAAGCAAATCAATAAAATGGTAATCTGTGCAATGAGGAAAACAAAGCGGGCATAGCAGAGCTTACTTAATTTTGTAGGTGATACATGATCTGACAGTTAGTTCTATGTGTCAGCTTTACTGGGCCATGCAGTGCTTAGATATTTGGTCAAACATTATTCTGGGTGTGTCTGTGAGGATGTTCCTGGATGAGATTAATATTTGAATTGGCAAACATAATGAATAAAGTAGATTACTCTCCCTAATGTGGGTAGGCCTATACAATCAGTTGCAGGCCTGAATAAAACAAAAAGGCCAAGGAAGAGAAAACTCCTCCTGCCTGTCTTTGAGCTGCGACATCAGTTTTCTTCCTGCCTCCTAACTCAAACTGAAACATAGGCTTTTCCTGGGTCTCAAGCCTGCTGACATTTACACCAAAACTACTCTTATCAGCTCTCCTGGGCCTTCAGCTTGCCAACAGCATGTCTTGTGACTGGTCAGCCTCCACGATCACATGAGCCAATGCTTTAGAATAAATCTCTCTCTTCTATCAATATACCTATCATCTATCTATGAATGCATATTTATGAAAATAAATATATATAAATACACACCTCTTATTGGCTCTGTTTCTCTGCAGAACCCTGAGTAATATAGATAACATCTCTTTGGAAGTTCCACTTAATCTGATATATTGAAGATAAATAGAAATTAATACAATAAAGTGCAAAGCATTTGCAAAATTCTTGAATTGAAAATAGCCCTAAATGGCTGAAATTTAGTTGCAAAAAACCATGTTATAAATTTGGCTTTACAGTCTAAGTGAATTATGAAAGATTTTAAAACAGGGTCATGACTTGTGCTTATATTTTATATTTTAAAATATATTTTATCCTTAAACTAA